TGACCATTCCTCATGGCCGGTGGCATTCCCCAGTGTTCATAAGGTATACCTTGGGAATTGTGCCATTTTCAGAGGAGCAGAGCAGGGAAAACAGAGACAGCTTGTGCATGGCATTGGATTTCCGAGCGAAGCCAATCCGAGCACGCGTGCATCCCTCTTCCCGAGGCCTTTTAATGCTTTTCTTAGCTTAATTGATTTGTTAATTAATTAGGTGGTCTGTAAATTATTTAATTAGCTTGTAGGTTAATTAAAGTGTATTATTCTTTTGGTCCCTCCGAGCGAGGGCGAATTTGTAATAAGTGTGGGTGCGTGTATGCATGTCTTCCAACCCCCACTTCTTTCTCCCTTTTACTTATCTGCTTTGATGGTTAGTATTAGGGCATGTTTAATTTAGCATACCTTATGCTATGCATGCGTGCATCATTCATCAGTATTGCATGCGCCGGGCTCGGCGCATCATGCTAACTGCATAGTATTTCAAATCTAACTTGAATACATGTTATCTGTTGCATTTCACATGCCACATCATGTTAACCGCATAGTATTTCAATTCCAAACTTAAATACGTGCATCGAGTTGTTGCATTTCACATGTCATCCTTAGATTAGCCGAGCTTGTTCTAATGATATTCGGTATGCGATGCATTAGCCATTTGTTAACTTGAACTAGGATCATGCATGATTACTAACTAGTTCATTGCTTTGGCACGGAGTACGATGTAAGTATTTATGCTTTAGCATCTCGCATGAGTGTGAATGTTAACATGACAGCATGCTTACCATGTGGCTATATCTTTATGTGATATTACTGTCTGAATGCCTGTGGGTGAAGGTTGGATTGTTTGAGTTGGAACAACTCATTGAAATCCGTGTTTTAGCCTACTCGTGAGTAGCAGATTTCAAATCATTTCCAAACAAACAGATATGCGATGCTTTGTTCCAAATTAGGCGATCTAGTCTATACTTTTGTGCTGTGCGCATCACATAGTAAGATTAGATCAGAATAAGAACACATAATGTTTTCAAAACAAGATATCATGGTTAGTAGAGGCCGATCTTCGGATCGGGCGAGAGGGGGTGCTCATAGCTGACCTTCTCCAATCGTACCCAAGTTCTCGAGCCGAGACAACTTTGGTGATGACGGACACGTGGCCTTAGGCAAACGAGTCAGGGTTTCCTAAATTTCCCCAATAAAATATTTAGGTGGCGACTCTGTATCTGGCAAAGTAGTCCATGTTTGGCACTTCTTTACAAAAATTTGTTTTCCAAAACGATTTACTGGATTTGGACTCTTTGGTTCAGATTAAGAACCGTAACAATTTGAGTCCGAACTGTAGTAAGCCCAAATGAACAAATCGGGATTTCCCTCCCGGGACGTTTCCTAAATTTCCCCAATAAAATATTTAGGTGGCGACTCTGTATCTGGCAAAGTAGTCCATGTTTGGCACTTCTTTACAAAAATTTGTTTTCCAAAACGATTTCCTGGATTTGGACTCTTTGGTTCAAATTAAGAACCGTAACAATTTGAGTCCGAACTATAGTAAGCCTAAATGAACAAATCGGGATTTCCCTCCCGGGACGTTCGGGTACGTCTACAAGAAGGTCTCCATGAAAAATTACGGTGATTTCTTCATCCCGGATTATATGTATTGGAATATGGGTCATTACCCGGGTTGGAGAATCCTTGAGCTGCATTCACATGCTCTTGAACTAATTCCGGAAATTGTGATGCCGAAGGGCATTCACTCAAGTCATGAGCAGGGCTCACACAAACAGCACACGCCTTGTGAAATTGAGGCTGATCTTGCTGTTTAGAGGCATGTTCTGCCGTTAATAATTGGTCTATTTTGTGGGACAATGCCTCCACTTGTTGGGTTAACTCTAGGTTTTGCCCGACCTCATAAATGCCCTCTCTCTTTGGGGCTCCAACTACTGGTTACCAGACTTGTTGGGCTGCGGAGGCATTGTGAAGGGAATTATCACTTAAGTTCTCAAATAATTGCCATGCCTCGGCATCATTTTGGACATGAATGTCCCACCACAAGATGAATCCACCATTTGGCGGTGAGGCTCAGTTAAGCCATAGTAAAAGGTCTGAACAAGTTGCCAATCAAGCATTGGGTGGTGGAGACACTGTTGGAAAAGGTCACGAAGTGTCTCCCATGTCTCGTGAAATTGCTCGCCATCAATTTGAGCAAAATTGGTGATGGCTCACCTAATTTGGTTGGTCTTACCAATGGGAAAATACTTCTCCAGAAACTTTTGCTGTAATTGGTCCCAAGTTGTGATAGAATTAGCAGGTAAGGAGTTCAACCAGTGTTTGGCTTTGTCCTTTAATGAGAATGAGAACAATCGCAACATTAAGGCCTCATTTATGAAATTTTGGATCCTCACTGTAGAGCAAATTTTCAGAAATTCATTCAAATGTTTATAAGGATCATCATGAGTTAGTCCACGGAATGATGGGAGCATTTGTATGGTGCTGGACTTAATCTCATAATGAGCAGCAATGGTGTTGGGTAATTGGATGTATGACGGTGATGTGTATGTAGTGGGTGTGAAGTAATCCTTAACGGTCCGATTGGGCCCATTTAGGCCATTCGGGTTTTCCATCTCTATTGGTTCAAAGTACGTATATGAATATTCAAGCCTAGGAACACAGGCAGAGGCTCTAAGTTTCCTAAGAGTCCTTTCTAGTTCAAGGTCCAAACTCCACAATTCAGGGCGACAACAACAGCGTTGGTGCATACACTACTCACACACACACATACTAAGTTCCAACTCTATGCACTAAGTTATGAAAGCAAAATACCAAAGGGAGAAATACTCACAGTGATTTAATAAAAACGCTTTACTCGTCTTGCGGGTGCTTGACGTGTAGACGTTGTCTCTAACCTCCAATTGAGATTTATCTTTTTTTTTAGCACTTTGGTGCTTTGCTTCATTTTTGGCACTTTAGTGCTGCGGTTTGTTTTTTTTTAGAGCTCGGTTGCGCTTCGCTTGCACTTCGGTGATAGCTCCACTTTCAAACGCTCTGTACACTTAGCAACACAAAAATATAAAATCCTAAACTAAAAATTAAAATAGGAATGTAACTTTAAATTACTCAATTTTGCTAGAAGTCCCTGGCAATAGTGCCAAAATTTGATAGGTCGTTACACACACTAAAATTAAACACTAAACTATACCAAAATTTTTTAGAATAATGGCAAGTCCAGGTATCGATCCACACGGACAATTGTGAAATTAAACTAATTTAATCGCTAAATTCTTAAATTAATTTTGATTAAAAAGATTTAGAGATTTTATAACTAGACAAGAATTAAATGAAATTGAGAAATTAAATTGACAATTAAAATTAGGGTTTGAGAGATTGATTTTTGGAAAAAAATCCTAGGGCAAATAATTCACCACTAACCATATAAATGAGATTAAACATCGGCCAATAATTGCAGTCCGGTTTGAAATATTGATCAAGAGGGTTGTTGCATTCAACGTACAGGCACGAATCATCCCGAGTAGCACGAGGCATTTGCTCTAAGCTACGGTAGCAACACGACCCATCTCTGATAGCATGACTCATCTCGTACTTTGAATATAAACGCAAAGAAAACTAATGTACGAAAAGCATTAAACAATCATAGAGAGTAAAATACTTAATGAGATGAAAAGAACAATGAATAAAAACTTCTAAATCATCCATATATTGATTCAAACCGGTTCACAATGAAAGCTTATGAAAAATCCTATTACATGGCTAGGGTTTCATCAAAACCCTAGAAAAGAAGACTAGCCACTGATGGAGGAGTGGGAAGAGGAAGAGGATGAGAAAGAAACCCCCATGGAAGTTGTCCTTTAAGCTTGAGGAGAAATCACATTTTCAAAACCCTAGCCTCCCTTTCCTTAGAAATAAATTTCAGCACCCTAATCTAGCCCCTTTCTTGCCTTTTTATATCTCTACTGTCTTTCAAACAGGTTTAAAACATCAAGCCTATTTTCCGAGAAAAGTCAACGCACATGCAAAAAAAGTCAATGCACGTGCGGGAAGCTCTTTTCTTTCCAAATTCTGTATTTTACCCATTTTATGCTCCAACTATGTACAACCTGATTGACATTAAACACACATAAAATATATAATTTGACAAGCAACTAAAGTTAAGAGATCCTAATTAACGGCCTCAATGTTGCACAATTCGGCATTACTCAGATACGCCGGGCCTACGTCCACTCCCTAAGGAGCCTCCTTGAGAATTTTTTTACTATCAAAATAAATCAATACACCACCAAGGCTTCACCAAGCTTGTGGATTTTCCATAGGTCTTACTTTTATCTATTGAGCCTCACTCAACAATAAATACCTTACTCTTACAAAAATCTCTCACGAAATAAGGACTAAAAATAAGAGGTACTTTAACCCTCTTTTACAATACTTTGCTCACAAAGAGTAAATATGAAAGTCACTACAACAAAACTGACTTTTTATGGCACAATATCAATGACATACAATAAATGCATGCCAAAGTTTCTCACTTTTACGACTTACTTTTTTTGCAAGTTGTAAATACTTTTTTAACCACGACATGTCTATTGCGTAGGTCGTGAATACTAATAATGATGATTTTTTTACGACTTACAATGTCAGCCGTAAATAATAAAATTTTCTACGACGTGCATATAACATGCCGTTAATACATCAACTATACACGACACGCGTACATCAGTCGTTAAAAATATTGAACATTTCACAACGCACAAAAAGTCAGCCGTTAAAAATATTACACTTTTTACGGCACACAAAAAGTCAACTGTTAAAAAGTATATTTTTCATGACGCACATATGCTAGCCGTTAAAAGTATTTTACTTTTCACGATACGCAATTTCTATCATGAATAGTATGACTAAAATAAAAATTTTGAGAGCCAAACACCAAAAAAAAAAAAAAAATCAAAAGCCTTTTGCCCTCACTATCTTTCTCTACCACACTATCTCTCCACCTCTATGTGCTGTCATCATCTTTGGACACCCCTTCTTCTTCTAGGGCTTCATCTTCGAAGAAAAAGAACGACTAGTTCTTCGTTGAGTACCAGAGCTTCTTAGACGATGATGGCTCTACTCCCTTGGGAGAACACATCAAACCCGATTTCATTAGGCCTTTGCCTCATCCTTCAGAGTCTAACCTTGTTCTTTCCTTCGAAATATACAATGTCGTCGATGCGTCTTAATGTGATGGATGGTGGATTGGTGTCATCACCATAGTTCTCAACAATTCCAAGTTCGTAGTCACCTTCTAGAACCGTCCCGACAAGATCGAGTTTGGGTTTTCGGAGTTGCAAGTTCACCAGGAGTGGATCGACAGCAAATGGGTTTGACCCAAAAAGCAGGTATGGATTTAGGGTCTCTGCTTTCTAGTGTTTTGGGGGTTTATGATACGCACTTTGATTTTGGCTAATATATGATGCTAGGATTTGATTTCTAGGGTTTTTGACAATAAGGAATTTGATGAAATATCTTGAAATATCTGAGGCCAAACATGTTTTGATTTCTAGGGTATTTTGGAATTTTTAAAAAAAAAAATTCAACCAAACAAGTTATTGGAATTTTTTTCTCCAAAAACATGTTTTGAGAAACAAACCAAACATGCCATTGACTATCTGCCTATAACGATCCCGGTTGTCCCTTTACTGTTCTGTTGTATTCCGGACTCGGTTCCGTGAAGTTGGTAGTGGTTTCTATCTTTTTGCCGTCCTTTAATTCCACTTGATTGAGTTTTAGGATGTTTTGAGCAGGGTTGTTACAGGTTGGTTAGGCTTTGGTTTCAATTCCTTGTTGTCCAGTTTTTAGGCGATCCGCTCGAGCAGGTCTTCTTGCGCTTGAGTGGGGATTGCACACCTCCAGTACTTCGTGTTCCTGCAAAACTTCTACAGATGTGATTTTTACGCTCAAGGGGGTTTGTTTACGCTCAAGCGGTAGCGCTCGAGCGGGTTTGGTGGCGCTCAAGCGGGTAGTACTTTCTGGGTATAAGTTCTGGGGGGGAAATCTACGCTCGAGCGGACTGGTTTTCGCGCTCGAGTGGAAGTGCTTTATTCTTGTGTCTTGGCGCTCGAGCGGGCCTTATTGCGCTCAAGCGTGTTCAGATTTTTGTTCTTGACGCTCGAGCTTTGTGTTCTTCGCTCGAGCGGGTCATACGTATATGAGTTATCCGCTGGGTGATTTTAAATCACTTTTCGCTTTTCTTTCTCTCTCTTACTTTTTCTAAAACCCATTTTTGAGAGCCCCTCTCTAGAAGCTCCCTTCTCTCTAGGGTTTGATCTAGTTAGAGTGTCTTCCTTCTCTTCGGCCTTTGTAAAAGTTGTGTTGATCGTCGAGGGCGTCGTTTTGATCCGAAAATCTTGGTCTTTGGAGCACTTTGGTTTTGGTCTCTTCTCCATCCGAGCTCTAACTTCGAGGTAGGGATATCCTACTCCTCTTTATGAGCTTTGTCTTTAAACTTTTGCATTTTGATATGTTGGGGGTTGTTGGGTAATTTTGAGAGAGTTTGGGCCTTTGTGTAATTTTACAAAAGTTGGAGTTTTTATTTATATAAAACCTAAATGCATGTTTGGCATGGAAAAGTGAAATTAATGTTAAGACATTAATGAAAATGGAACCTAAGGGTTGAAATGTTAATTATGGAATTATGCCTAGTTACATTGGTTAATTAATTCGCATAATTAATTATGAGGAATGAGAAATTGATTTGGAAATGTTAGGAATTAAAGTGTAGTTGGATTATTTATCACTCACCTGGTTGAAATGTTGATTATTATATATCCATTTGTTGCATTTTTTTCTGTATAGAAATAACTGCTTTTTGGGCTATCGGTGGAGGATAGTCTTGATTGTTGTAGACAATGCATGATGATTAGCAAACTGAAACTAATCACTGGATGTGTCATTAAGTATGACGGTTGAAAGAATACATTAATTTATACGTTTGTGTGATGATGTGTAGTAATTATTGTTTATGACGCATTGTGTCGTGTTGGAGGAGATAGGGATGTACTCCACGGTTTAGGGGAAGATAGGGGATGAACCTCTAAACGGATGTTGTTGGAGAAGATAGGGGATGGACTCCATAGATAGAGCTCATAATGCTATATGTAGTAATGTGTTGACAGAGCTCATATGCTTGCCTTTGGAAGTGTGATAGTGCTCTTATGCATATCTATGGAAGTGATGATATAGTTGTATGCTTATCTGTTGATGTGTGATATAGCTAGTATGCTATCTATTATGTAATGGGAAAGTACTTAATATGAGTTATTGTCTCATATGAGTTGTTTGGCCAGGTTCTGAGCCATGGTTATAAATTGAGAATTGGAAAGAAATTGGAAAATGGATTGTAACATGGACTTGTATGTCATGAAATCGTAAAGTGTGATAGGGGAAAGTATTAGTGTTGGCCATCTATCAACTGCTAATCTTTTAGTCAATGTTCATATTTGGTTTTAGTGTATTTCTACTGGGCTTTGTGGCTCACCCTATATGGGAATAATCATTTTTCAGGTACAGGCAGCATGCCACCTCCAAGGACGTAGCTTGGGAGGCTAGAGGCGGGCGGATTTTTGTGTTTATTTTTCTTTGATGTATTACATGTATATTCAAGCCAAGGGCTTAATGTGTAAATGAGTTAGCACTCTTTTGTTGTAACCAAGTGTTAACTTGGAAAGCTGTAAGCCTTTAGGGCATTTGCTTTTGTCGTTAACATGTAATACTTTTTGGTATTGGAACTCTGATGAATAGAAGAATGTGGAGCTTCTATATATCAATGCATGTCTATATTGATGGGTTTAATGTTATTTTTTTGAGGGCGTTACACTGCCTCTGTTGCAAACATGGATTGATTGGACAAGGACAAGAGCAAATTGAGTTATTGTTTTCCTGTGAATTTTGATGGGTCTATGAGAATAAAATTTCAAGGGTTATTGAAATGTGGTTATTTTTGTATTAATTTGTAATAGCCCTTTTTTCTGCTCTAAATAGTTGTGGGTTTTTCAAGTTTCTATAATTTATGCTGTCAGTTTTTATTTTATTATTATTTTAGATGTATTGCTCTACAGAAACATAGCACAACAAGGAATTGTGAATTGTGATTTTGATGATGTCTATGGTGTTTTCTTTGACTTCCTTACAAGTTGCTGCATATTCAAATGGCCATGTGAAAGTGTATGGGTTCCTAGATCCACTGGAACTAGATACTTGAGGTGATCTTTGTAATTCTATATTATTACAACTCTGCTAATTAATATAATTGTTTGTTACTTTTATTTTCATGTCAGCTGGAAAGCCAAGTCTATATTAGACCTTGCGGCATTGGTTTCTGTTAATTGCATGCTGCTATAATGGCACAAAACAAAAACATCGGTTTAGATGGGGTTAGTCATAATTGTAAATTGTAGATACCTATTTTCTTGACTTATCAGTTTTCACCATTTTAACCACTGCTCAATCTAATATATTAGAGTCCCAAACTAGAATTTAATAAAACATAATCATAAGGAATCATCAACTTATGAGAATGTGAAAATGCCAAAATAGATCATCAAACTTTTCCTGGCGCTATCTAAAGTCTAAACATACTAATGCAACCCCCACAGACCATGGGAATAAATTATTATTTGGTCTACATCTTAAAATTCAATAAATGAAAGAAGGTCTGATACTCAGTTTGGTTTTGTTTTCAATTTTCATAATCTGAAAACAGAAAGTTTATTTTGAATGTTTAGTCTCTTCTAGGTCTTTTCATATCTTGATTCTTTGAGAAATAAGAGCAAAGGAAATCAATTTGTCTTGAAAGTTGGAACCATTTTAGCTCTAGCAAATGGGGCTTTTTTATCTTACTAATGTTAGTTGTTGAGCTGTTATAATTTTTATCAATCCTCATAGTGATTCTTTATTGATATGTGATTGGTTTCCTAATTGCCTAAGCCAAACTTAGATTTCTATGATCCTTCAAAATATTTTGTTCGATTTTTTTATATTTTATATTTTTTTTATATAATTCATTGATTTATGTGACCAAAAAGTAGTCAATGTGACTTTTATATGTTAGCTTTGTCAAGGTCTTCATTATTTTAAAATGTGTTGGTCTCTTGTATATCCACCTTGCATTATATGTTAGCTTTGTTGATTTTTTATATGACCAGTGGCCACCAAGATTTTGTTTCTTAGCTTATTGACAAAACAAAATGAAACAAATGAAAATTAATAGCTATACCATGCAACTCTGTGTTTAAATCTCTTTTATGTAGTTAAAATTTCATTAATCTGCAGGTTCACTACTTCTGGCCTCTGGATAGCATTAGAATAAAAGAGTTTGATAATGTGTGGAATGAGGTTACAAGACAATCTAGAGGAAGGCTCACCTTTGATACTATTCCTGTCATGTTTGGAAGGTATACCTTGAAATGTAGTGCTTTTGTTGCTCTATTTAAGCAATTATGGCTCAAGCTCATGCTCATGCTCATGCTCATGCTCTGTTTTTTCCCTTATCAGATTCATGGCATTGTATCATGTCATTTCCATGGGTAAATGCACCCAAAATTTGCCACATGGTTGGTGATTTTCTTTTTATTTTCTTTTTTCAATTTTTTGGTGCTTTCCTCTTGGCTTATTGTGAACTCACCCTCTAAATTGTCAAAACTAGTGCCTGAAATCAGCAACTTTACTGTTTAAAATTGTCATAAATCTATTTTGTCATTCTAATATCTCTTTTGCTAGGTCATAAGTGGACTTGAGGCCGGGACCTAATTCATAGTATTAATCATCTGGCCTACTTTTACTTGAATTTCATTGGAAATATTCAGCCAAAGGAAAAGTGAATCGTCAAAATTCCATATACTTTTTATTGATTACTATTCGTTGTTAAATTTCTGGAAATTCATACACTTTCACTCAATATATTCTGAAATCTAGTTGTCCAAAATAGAATTAGGTAGATTGAGTATTGTGCAGAATTTATAGCTGAAGTAAAACTCTAAATTGTTGAGATGTCTTATTACCATGACAACACAACTTCAGTCATTTAAATGTTTGTTATAATGTCACTAAATGCCCTTTTTCTTCTTTATTTTTTTGTTGAGGAAACTTATCTTTCTGTTTAGGTTTCACCACAACTACTATTGCTTTCATATTTTAGAGAGAGATTGAGTATGATTAAGGTAGAAATATTATATCTTCATCATGTTGTGTTCCTGAGCCCTCACTGTGTAATATGTTAATAGTTGCCAAAGTATACTGCATAGATGTAGAAACCTAGCTAAATATATGAATACAATGGATTATAAGAATTTAGGTCAAACTCTGATTGGGTCAAGTCTCTTAAGAAGTATTACCTAATTTTAGTGATGCAAACTTCCTTTCTCAGTGAGTCATTTTAACAAAGATTCAAAAAGTTACTTTTCTAGACTGACCTTCGTGTTGAACCACAAGGGATCTGGATTAATTCTTGATAATATTGTAAATATTAAAAAATGTTTTAGACTGTGCAAAATCAAGGTCTTAAAAATGATTTTATTTTCTAAACTGGATCCACTTCATGATAGCCTTGATTCACTTACATCAGGATTACCTAGAAAGCACAAATACAGTTACATATACACACACGGACACATGGCACTATCTTTTTCTTAAAAAAAAAAAAGGAAGCAGGAATATGAATTTTTTATTATATATTTGTATTTGCAATGTATATAAATCTATGAAGTATGGACATGGACATGGGACACAGATACAACACAACATGGATATGCTAACGCAATGATTTTCAAAAAATCATGATACGACACATTGGGGGACACATGAAAAAAAATGAATGAGATGGGTATTGACATTGTTTATTTGTGGAATGTTTGTGTTGATTCGGTTGTTAACAACAATATAGGAGTATGAGGAGACAAGTGAAGAACCTGAGCAAGCTGCCCCTGAAGAAAGTGAACAACAAGAAGTTGAAGAAGCTGAAGATAAACAAACACTAGTAGATACACAACAAGAGCCTGAGCCTGAGCCTGAGCCTGAGCCTGAGGAGGAGGAAGTTCCACCATTCATATCAACTGACCAAACTAAGGATCTGTTAGTAAGTAACTTTAAAATTAATTATTGTGTAATTTCCTTAAAACTAGGAACTGTTGTATTCGGGGTCGAATTGGATTTTCTAATTGGATCAAATTTGGATTCACAGTAATGAGAGCTTCCTTTTGCTCTATTTGCAATTGGGTTTGTTGTTCTGATTAGTATATTCATGATTCTTGCACATTTTGAGTGCAGGGTTTAAATGAAATAAATCCTAAAGCTGCCTAACTAGAAGAAAGTGATGCATTTGCACTTGCCATAGTTCCACCTGGTAAGTTGCATATTAGTTTTTATTATTGGGGAAGTTTATAACTATATGAGGATTAAATTAAGACAAAATAAAAATGATCTGCTATGCTGAAATTTTAAATTGACACTTCCTTTTGGTTTTGTGTGTGTGTTTTATAGGATAATAAAAAAATTGTTCTGATGATTGGAATAATTTCAGGTAATAATCTGGTATCAAGCAGTTGGGATTTGAGTGCAATTGGAAGGTTTTGTTCATGATAGATGCTACAATCCCTGAAACCTTTAGAAGGATAGGGTCAAGTATTCATTAACTGAACTTTTTTATGCATAATCTTTGGATAACCTTGCAAGGTCCATTCTGCAGCTCGAGTTATTTTGTTAAGTTGTTAGTATGGAAATCTTCTCTTGTTTCAATTTGGTGCGAGTGTGGTTTGTTTTACCTTAATGCTCTTTCTTAATTTTGATGGCATATTGCTTCTTGTATTTAATTGGTAGAAAGTTGCAGAGAAGTAACAACTACTGAAGAAAAGCTTAGGAGATGGAGACTTCGGTGGCCTCAAGGAGTTGCATAAGACAGTTTTAGAGCTTTCTGCACCATCCCAGTTAGTATATTCTTTCTAGCAATGTTGTTGAGGACCTTTTTATTTATTTATTAAATAATATATAAATAATAATATAAATACATTATTTATATATTAAATAATATAAATAATATTTAAAAAAAAATTATCGAGTCAAGCCGAGTTCGAGTTTCATTAATGTTAACGAGCCGAGCCGAACTCGAGCTCAGTTTCTTATCAAGCCGAGCTCGAGCTCAATAAACAAGCTCAATAAGTAAACGAGCCGAGCTCGAGCTCAGTAAAGCTCGGCTCAACTCGGTTTGTTTGCAGCCTTAGTTGCAACAAAAGCGGTAACTTCATTAGAGGTAACTTCATTTGAGGTATGAAAAAAAAGGTTTTACTATATGTGGATTTTATTTGCATATATGTTGAGACTATTGAGATCTTGAATTTTTGCTAATTTTTCATTATGACATTACTTTTATGGGGCTATTGAATTATCTTATTAATTTTGGAAATATTTTGTTGATGTTTTAATTTTTCTTGATCATTTCTTAATACCTTAAGAAATATTTTTGTCCTTGAGTCATCGATTTTTGTACTTATGTGAAGTTTTTTTTTGTCATGCAGACAAGAAATGCAACAGGGTTAGTTACTCCAACTATTGCCGCGGGTTTAGGTGCCTTAACACATACATCGGGCACCCTCGTCCTTGTGATAGGAGCAAGTAGATTTGCTACAGCTGGAGCTGCAACTACTATAAGAACTGCTGTCGGTAGTTTTAGATAATCTCTTAATAGTTGTCGATATGTTTAAAAAGTTAGATATTCATAGTTTTGGATGGTTTAAACTTTTTGTACAATTTAGAACTTAAGGATATAATTTTTGAATGATTGGAATGTATAGATAATTGTTGGATGTTTATAATTTATGGATATAATTTCTTTTTGATGTTTCAAACAATATTTTGGTGGTTGATTGATGTTTTGTGATGCTTGTTTGTAATATTTGTTGGATTGTACAAAATTGGCCAAATAGAACTTGCTGAATTTAAAAATAAAAAAAAATTACATATTTTATGGTAAACATAATAAGTCATTGTATTACATATTTTACGGTGCGCAATCAGCGTCATTATTTGTCTCACCAATTAACGGCATGCAAAAGTAGTCGTAGAAAAAGTAACGACGATGCACAAAATCTTTCGTTAAATAGTTTTTAACGGCGTACTATAGTATGTCATAGAAAATGTAACACCGACGCCTAAATTTGTCGTTAAATAGTTTTTAACGGCGTACGAAGCATGTCGTTGAAAGTGAATGACTTTCTATGATTGATCATAATATGATGCGTGCTGCACGTCGTAGAAGGGTTTTTACGGCGTGTATTGCGCGTTGTAAAAACCCTTTTTTGTTGTAGTGAGTGTAAGAACAAAGACTACACTTAAATCTGAAAGTGAAAGAGCATAATACAATACACTCAAAATTTTGGAGCATACAGATTTTTTCTCTTCAAATTCTTGATTTTTCTCCACACACAATACTTCTATTTATACCAAAAAATATACCTATTAGAGGTAGGACGCTCCTTGTTGACATCATGGATTACATGGGCACGCTCCTTGACAGACAAAAGGCATCTATTTTGGTTTTCAATGAATAAACCATGTGGCACCTTTTTCTTTGTCGATCTTTACATATTTTTTCTTTGTTCATCATTTCTTTGACAAACTTTTGCAGTCAAGTTACCAAGATGTTCAATTCACAAAGTTGAATATAATGTCATATATACATACAAGGATTTTGTCAAAATTTTACACTAACTTTTTCTATTAATTATAGTTATATACATACATATATATATATATATATATATATCCGTCAAGCTCATCTTTTTCTTTTTACAATAACATGTATATATTTATATTTAAAAAAAATATGATTTGCTTTCAAACATCACTTGAGTGTGTTTCACTTTACATGCAAAATATAAATCAAATATTTTTGCTATATACCAACCATTCCATGTGAGTATATTAGATTTGTCAAAGGATGACAACTCACTAATATCACATTTGTCAAAATACTACAATTAATCAATATTAATTTTGTCAAAAAGTGAATAGTGACCAGCCGAACTTTTCAAAATCGTGAATAGTAATATTTTCAAAATATTTCTATTTAAATAATATTTATAACAAATATATCATACAATATATATTTTAAACATATAATATTTTGTGTCAAATAATATAGAATGTACATATTAAAATATCCAAAATTTTCAAATAATATTTTAAACATCATCAAAATTAAACAATATAATTAACACTCCTGTTTCACTAATGCCGACTATGTAGGATCTAGGACAGATCGGCGTTTTACTTTGGGTTTTTGTACTTTCTATGGTGATAATCTTATCTCATAGAAAAGTAAACAACAGGCAATTGTTTATAGGTCTTCTGTAGAGGTTGCGGCTATGGCACATGGGATATGTGAGATTCTTTGGATTTGCTCTATTCTAGTAGAGTTGGGTTTTGAGGAGACTATTCATTCTTCATAATTTTATGATAACAAATTTGTCATTATGTTATTGTAGACACCCCATTTTTGACCGTCCTCAAGACTTGGTTGTGCTTGCAGGTACATCCAACTACAAGTTCGATTGCTCGTCGAGTACTCGACTTTCGCAGCGGAACTTCACAGGTTTGAGCTTTCCAAACCCTGTATCCTTTCTGCCCCATTCTTGGACCATGTGTTGGCCATTCTAGCATGATTCTCATAGTGCACTGCTAGCCCCTTTTTGGCCCTGTCGGCCTTGCTTTGTCCCCTGCCTGCTACTATGATGCCTGCCGGCCATCAGTGAGGCACTGCCGGCCACTACTGATGGTCGGCATAACACTTGTCTCAGCAGGTTTCACGCCAGATCTTTTGAGCCAGCTGGTTTTCACTCATCTCTCCTCCATATACGTGTATGGAGGGATGAAGCTCTTGCCAAGCTTGTTTAACAAGCTTTACATTGCCTCTCTTCTATATAAGGAGAGGCTCCTCCTCTATTTCAGAGGTTGAGAAAATTCAGGCTTGAGAGATAGATATATATTTGTATCTATTTTTCCTTGTTTACTCTTGTTTTGTGCTTAAAAGTGTAGTATTGTCTTACTTTTGTACACAAACACACACTAAAACACCTTGCTTGTGTTTTTGAAGCTTCTTGAGGTTGTTTTTGGTGTTCTTGGGCTGGTTTGAGCTCAAACAAGTGGCTGGAGTTGCAGTGGTAAAGAAGGTCTTCAAGGGTGAGTCTTTAACCTTTAGATCCCCCATTTTTGCTTAAGCTTTTAGCCTTTCTTGCATACGTTTTTAAGCTTAACTCTTAACTGAAAAAAGTTCTGTTTTTGCATGCTTAAGAAGTTTGTTTAAGGTCTTTTTTTCATTTGGGGTGATCTACCCTTTCTTAGGCCTTGTTTTGAGCCACCCCCTTTAGGCTCTTGTTGTAACCTTTGCATGACCTTTCTACCACTGAAATCCAGAGGATTTTCAGTGGTGGAAAGGTGATTTTGGGGTCCCAAATAGGAGAGGGTCATCCCCTCTCCTTGTGTTGTGTTTACTTGCTTTGAATGCCTTATGTGTGAGCATGTTTGTTAAGTTTATGCTGGCTATATCTTAGGATGTATTTGTAGTTATTTTTCTATGGCATGCCACTGTTTTTGCTTGGTTTTGTCACTCCATGCATGCCTAATGCACTTGTAGTGTAAATCACACAAACTAGTCTTGTGTGCATCATGAAGTAGCATGTCATTCTAGCTTGATTTGAGTCCATTTCAGCATGTTCTTGGGCTTGTTTTACCATGTCATACCTCTATTAGGGTTTGGTTTAGTAGCTCCTTGCATGCTCCATGTACTTGTAATGCATTTTCATGAAATAGCCTAACATGCATCATGCTTTGACATGTCATTCTAGCATTAATCGCCTCTAATAGG